CGAAGAGACTAGCTTTTCCTAAATTTAAGACCCTATGGTGACTCTACCTGGGCAGTTGTCATTTTTTAAGAGAGAGTGAGAGAGGAGAGGAGAGAAGAGGGGGGAGAGAAGGGGGGAGAGAGAGAGGAGAGAGGGGAAGAGAGAGAGGAGAGGGGGGGAAGAGAGAGAGAAAAGAGAGGAGAAGGGAAGAGAGAGACAGGGAACACACGAACAGAGTGTTGATATTTATGGGCTCAACGCAGGATGAGGAGGAGCAGGGTGAGTGGGTTGTTACTTCTTCATTGGCCGGGAGCTTTCGCCACTTCAAGGATTGGAGGTGACGGTTTGCGCACCATTCAGTGGGTCATGGACCTGAGCTCCTGGAAGAGAAGCGCTCCAGGAACCATCTTTACCAACAGCAAGCACTCTACCAATGAGTTATATCTGCAGCAAGAGAATATATTTTTAATCTTAAATTCTGCACACTTTTCCATGTCTATCACTCCCCAAATTAGTTTTTTCCCAGGCACATCATTTTCAATTTTCTTGGAAACCCTTAAATCTTAGAGTTATTGAAAATTCACCCACTTGTGAAAATTACCTTGTGCACTATTAATTAGCACACATAATAAATAGGTTAAGCAAAGAAAGATCTGATATTTTAAGAAAACTATATTTTAGGGCATTTTCAGTGTTATCTACAGGACACATAATGGAGACATCAGCCTAAGAATCTTGAGCAGGCAAACATAAACCATCTTGTGATCAGACGAGACTTATGCATTTCACACATACCTTCCCATGTCTACCCCTAATAAAGTTTTCTTTAAAAGAGCTTGTGAACCCCAAGCTCTCAATGTATATCTCTCACTCTCAAGATGACCCACATTCTCCCTTGAATGTGCATACATGGCTTTCCTATTTTCTAAATCTCTGTGTCTCTAATTGGCTAATTCTTATATCAAACATTTGTCAAGAACCCTACTCACCCTGATTTGAGGTCCTCCTCTCCAGGAATATCTCAAATTTCCTCTGGTGAAAAGCATATGTACTCTTGTTACTGAAAGTTCAGTTTTTGTCCCGGATGCCAATCCAATAAGAAGACATGGTTTTGAGAAAAAGGAAAAAGAAGGTTTATTGCTTTGCTAGCAAAAGAGAAACACAGGGTACTCCTGCCCAGAGGCTGTAATTCTTCCCATCAGAGGGAACTGGGAAAATGCAGGTCATTTTTAAAAGGTGATTTAGAGGCTACATTCTACACTTCTCTGTCTGGAGTTGTAACTTCTTAATTAAGGAGATTGTCATTTCTGAGATCTTCTGGTGCCATCCCCAAACTCCACAAATGTTGGCACCCATTTTTCCATAGAAAAATGGAAAATAGATGTTCCTGTGGTCAGTGTGTGTTTAAGGACGTAACTTTGCCCAGGATGAGAAAAAAGGGTTTTCCCTGAGATTAGGGATGAGGAGAGATTAGGGAGGAGCAGGGAGAGGAGAAGAGAAAGAAACATGTCCATTTAAAAAAATAAGTTGCAGGGCTGGGGTTGTGGCTCAGTGGTAGAGGGCTTGCCTAGCATGTGTGAGGCACTGAGTTCAATTCTCAGCACCACATATAAAAAAAATAGATAAATAAAAGTCCATCAATAACAAATAAAAATATTTTAAAAAAATAGTTGCAGCAGCAGAGCAACAAGGGCTATATTCAAAGCAAAAAGTGGACCACTGTTACTGTATGTCTTTCTGTGTGTCCTGTAATCCAATTACAGCATTGTTACTGAAGTCATAGATCAGAGACTGACCAGGGACCTAAGAAACCAGGTCTGGACACTTTCCACAAAACAAACAGAAAAGAAAATAATAAAAAGCAAGAGAGGAACTTTAATTAGGGTAGCTACACTGGCAGGACAAGGTGACCCATTTCTTTAATCCTTTCTTGGAGGAGCTGAAAAATGACCCTGAGGTTTTATAGAAAGGGAAATGAGGGCAAAGACTGCAGGTGGGTGTTGAACAGCTGTAAGCTTTTTATAGCTGCCAAAGCAGGTGAACTTGATCAGGCATGGTCTGTCCATAATTTCAGGATTGATTAAGTGGAGCCTTGTCCCAGATAAGAAAGCCGCTTGTTGCCTCTGGGGTAGCTTCCACTAATCACAAAATGTTTATCAGATCTGACTATGTTCCTAGAATGCAAGGTGACTTGGCACAAAGGAGACAGGTACAAAATGGAAGTAGAGATGACAAGTTTTTAATTCTCCTTTTAGCCACACTTCAGACATCTATAGGCAAAAGTGAATAATCTAAGCTCTTGATACAGCATCAGATCCCACAGGTTGAGGTTTTAGTCCACAGTACTGCCCACACGCCCTATTTCAGATGTCAATCTTAAGCCCCATTTTTTTAAAAATCTGTGCTCTGACCAACCAGCTATTAATAATTTCTACCATCTTCTCTTTAAATTAATTTTTGAGAGTGACTCACAAGACAAAAGGAAACATTTATGTTTACCAATTTATTATAAAGAATATTTCAAAGGTTGCAAAAAAAAATCCAGGTGAACAGATACACAGGTCAAGATCTGGAAGGGTCTCAAATGCAGGAGCTTCTGTTCCCAAGTAGTTGGGATATACCATCCTCCTGGCATATATGCCAGCCTTCACATGTTTGGCTAACTATGAGCTCTCTGAATCCAGGTTTGTTTTTGTTTGTTTGTTTGTTTGTTTTGTTTGTTTTGCAACAGGACCACTCCCTTGGGAAGTTGTCCTTGGCAGTTACTTTTGCCTCCTACCCCTCTTTAATTCTTTTGCAAGATTTATGTCCCCTACCTCCACCCATACCTGGGTGCTGGGGATCAAACCCAGGGGCTCATGCATGCTAGGCAAGTGCTCCACCACTGAGTTATATTCCCATCCCAGTACCCTGCTTTTGCCCAACATTCTAAATTCTAAAGGAAGCCACCTACAGCATCAAATTCTTCTGAAAAGCAAAGAAAACAATTAAGGAATGTGAAGAGAGAACCTACAGAATGGGAGAAATATTTGCTAGCTACTCTTCTGACAGAATTAATATCTAGAATATATTAAAGAACTCAAAAAATTACACCAAAAAAATCATATAACCCAATTAATAATTGGGCAAATGAATTAATCAGACCCTTCTTAAGAGAAGAAATATAAATGACAAAAATGCATTTTTAAAAGTTCAATATCGTTAGCAATTAGGGAAACGCAAAACAAAACTACTGAGGTTTTATCTCACTCCAGTCAGAATGGCAATTATCAAGGGCTGGGAGTGTGGCTCGAGCGGTAACGCGCCCGCCTGGCATGTGCGGGGTGCTGGGTTCTATCCTCAGCACCACATAAAATAAAATAAAGATGTTGTGTCCACCGAAAACTGAAAAATAAATAATTCTCTCTCTCACTCTCCTAAAAAAAAAAAAAAAGAATGGCAATTATCAAGAATACAAGTAATAATAAATGTTGGCGAGAATGTGTGGGCAAAGTTACACTCATACATTGCTGGTGGTGTAACCAAAACCTAGGTCCTTGTCTTTGATGCCAATCCAATAAAGAAGACAACGTCTTGAGAAAAAGGAAAAAAAAGTTTATTGCTTTGCTAGCAAACAAGAAACATCAAGCATACAAATAATAAGAAATATTAGAGAGGATGTAGAGAAAAAGAAATACTTTTTCACTGTTGGTGGGATTTAAATTAATACAATCACTCTGGAAATCAGTATGGAAGTTCCTCAAGACTAGGCATGGAATCACCATATCAACCATCTATACCACTCATTGATATTTATGCTGAAGAATTGAAGTCATCTTGCTACAGTAATACATGCATACTCGTGTTTATAGTAGCATAATTTACAATAGCCAAATAATGGAACCAGCCTATGTGTCCATCAATGGATGGATACATAAAGAAAATGTGGTTTAATGTAGAACAGAGTGTGGAGTTGGGTTGTCTTGTGAATTCGGAGACTGAAATCCACAGACATAAGGAAGAGAGCAAAGTAACAATGATTAAGAGTAAAAGAAAGTAAGAAAGTAGGGTTCCCAATGGGGAAGGACCCCAAGAGAGGAATACTGAGAGTGGCTATTGTCTAGAGATTTTATATATAGATCTCCAGTGTTAAGGGAGGTAGCCCCTTACCCAATCTTGGGTAAGACACTCAGTGTCCACAAAGTCTTCATGTGGTCTTTGGTCCAATCAGATTACCCTGGAGAGTGATTATATTAATTTATAATCCCGCTAACAGTGTAAAAGTATTCCTTTTTCTCTACATCCTCTCCAATATTTCTTTACCCTGCAAGGGGATCTGGGCACCAGGCAACAGATGTCTCACAATTATAACAATGGTCCACTTTATGCTTTGAATATAACATTTGCTGCTATGTCACAGCAACTTATTTTTAAAATGGATATGCTCCTTTCTCTTCCTCTCTCTCCCTGATCCTCCCAATCTCTCCCCCTAATTTCAGAGGGAACAGGATTATCTTTCTTTCTCATCCTAGACAGAGTTATCTGTCCCTGAGTATATGCCTACCATAGGAACAAAGTAATCCAGACTTTGGGGATGGTACCAGAAGGTCTCAGAAATGACTATCTCCCAAATTACAAGTAAATTATAATTCCAGATAGAAAACACATGGAATGTAGTTTTTTTTAAGAGAGAGAGAGAGAGAGAGAGAGAGAGAGAGAGAGAGAGAGAATGAATCTTTTTTGTAGATGGACACAACACAATGCCTTTATTTTTTTTTTTTTATGTGGTGCTGAGAATCGAACCTGGGTCCCGCCCATGATAGGGGAGTACTCTACTGCTGAGCCACAATCCCAGCCCCTGGAATGTAGTTTTGAGTCATCTCTTTAAAAGCTTATGGCAGAATCACAGCCTTTGGAACAGGAGTCCCCTGTGTTCCTCCTTTGCTAACAAAGCAATAAACCTTCTTTTTTCTTTTTCTCAAAATTGTGTCCTCATTATAGGATTGGCATTGGGGACAAAGACAAGCATTTGGCAATACAACTATAATAAACCAACTTAAAAAATGAGAAAAAATAAAGGAAGCCCACCTAAATGGTGAGAATGTTAACTCCTAAATAATCTTTCCCAGATAAGGAAATTGACCCAACTTTGATTTTTTTCCTTGTGAATAAATAGGTTTTGTTCTCATTTGATTGGTTTCCTGTATTTCCACAAATTCTATAGTATATAACATCCAGTCCATATTCAAACCTCCTGAAGTGCCTCAAATATTTCTTTTATAGGTATTCGTTTTAATCAAATAGGGGAGATCTTCCTGTTTGTTAGCACAAATGATGCACACATGATGAAGACAGGAGACAGAAAGAAAACCTTAGATCTGCAAGCTTTTCTTTATTCAGGATTTAATAGCAGAGTCAATTGGTAGAACCCTGGCATGAGTCATTTTTGGTACAGAAAATGGCAGTGGGTTGAAACAAAAAATCTGGGTTACTACACTTCATTCAGGGTGAGACAGGAGGGCAATTCCTGGAGTTCACAGTGTTGGGGTCCATTGACCCATTAGGATTGGAGGGTCAGGGGAGAGTTCTTTTTGTGTTCCTTCACTCTGGCAAAGGTCTGGGATTTTAAATGACAGAAGCTTAGGGAAAATGTCCTTGGACTTATTTTCCATATTCTTCATTCCAGACTTTGAAAGGTAATAATAAATTAGGGTGAATTGGATCATCAACATAAAATCTGGCTGCTTCCTGCTGAGAAGAGCAAAGTGGGCAGACCTCTACCTTTCAGAGTTTTGGAAAAGAATATGAAGACCCTAGTGGTTGAGGCTGAAGAGGGGTATATGTGGGAGGAGCCTCAAGATTGTCGTGAATGAAGTCCTCCTTTTCAAAAAGTCAGGCAATGGGTGCAGGAGAGAATGTGTCTTGGGAGGCAGCTTGGGATGGGCAGGTTACTTGTGCTAAGAAACCATTTCTTGGAATTATATTTTCCTGATGATTTAATCATTTCCATCCTTCTTGACACATTATGAAAAACAAGAATAGAGATAAGTTTAACAGGATAGTTATAGCTAGCAACCCAGC